CGGCCTCCCAAAGTGCTGGGATTACAGGCTTGAGCCACCGCGCCCGGCCAATTTTTTGTATTTTTAATAGAGATGGGGTTTCACCATGTTAGCCAGGATGGTCTCCATCTCCTGACCTCATGATCCACCCATCTCAGCCTTTTAAAGTGCTGGGATTACAGGCGTGAGCCACTGTGCCCGGCCAAAAAGTTTCTTCTTTTTTTTTTGAGACAGAGTCTCGCTGGGTCGCCCAGGCTGGAGTGCAGTGGCGCGATCTCGGCTGCAAGCTCCGCCTCCCGGGTTCGCGCCATTCTCTTGCCTCAGCCTCCCGAGTAGCTGGGAATACAGGCGCCCGCCACCGCACCTGGCTAATTTTTTGTATTTTTTTAGTAAAGGGGGGGTTTCACCGTGTTAGCCAGGATGGTCTCGATCTCCTGACCTTGTGATCCGCCCGTCTCGGCCTCCCAAAGTGCTGGAATTACAGGCGTGAGCTACTGCGCCTGGCCCAAAAAGTTTTTAAAAAAGAAATCAAGCCACAGGACAGCCCCTGCCCCAGTCCTTCCTGGTGCCAGGGGCTGCTCTAGAAATATCTATGGCAACACAGCTTCCTGCAGGGACACTCAAGAACCCCACCCTCACAGGGAAGCCTTGCTGGAGTCTTGAGAGGTCCCCAAGTCTCCCATTTCCCCGTTTGTGAAATGGGGTCACTCTGGGAAAAGTTGAGAAACCCCCAGCACAAATCTCTCCCAGAACCTGGGAGCCCGTTCTCAGATCCGAGGTCACGACCCCGTGTTTTGCCCACTTCTGCCCTTATCACAACTGGCAGGAAGTCAGGAATGGGATAAGGTCTCTCCGCTGACCTGTGGGTGCTGAGCTGTTTTTCTGGCAACCCTGAAATAAACACCGGTTTCAGCGCACACGTTTGCAACCAACTTATGGAAAACAACTCTGGCAACATTGCAAACAGCTGAGCCTTTGCAAGGGCAAGAACAGATTCGCCAGTGTGGCCCTGTCACCCGGCACTGCCAGGGCGGGAGGAAATGGGGGGGTTTCCTGAGAAGTGAGACAATGGGGGTTGACTCCAAGAACTCAGCCTCTGGGGGCTGGGCGGGAGCAAAGCCATGTGAACAGGCTTACGCAAGACCTGGATTCTGCCAGCCCAGCTCAGGGATCCTTGCTTCACTGCCTTTGCCACTCAACTCCATCTACAACGCCTCTGTGCTGCATCTAGCAGGCCTGAGTCGGGGGCAGTGGCGGGGGCTGGCTCATAGGTCCCACCCCAAATCAACCCAGCCCTGAATCTGTCTCTGAAAAAATTTACTCAATGCAGGGTCAGAAAAGGTTAAGACCTTGAAGGCAACATAAAAATCTAGGCGGGATAGGTAGAGTGGCTCACGCCTGCGATGTCAGCACTTTGGGAGGCTGAGGCAGGTGGATCACCTGAGGTCAGGAGTTCAAGACCAGCCTGAGCAACATGGTGAAACCCCATCTCTACTAAAAATACAAACATTAGCTGGGCTTGGTAGCGCGTGCCTGTAATCCCAGCTACTCAGGAGACTGAGGCAGGAGAATCGCTTGAACCCGGAAGGCAGAGGTTGCAGTGAGCTGAGATGGAGACACTGAGCTCCAGCCTGGGTAACAGACCAAGACTCCTTCACACACACACACACACAAATTCCAAACCCCTGTCTGTACAGGGGTCAAAGTCCAATCACGGTGACTCAGTTCCCAAGTATGAGATGAGTGTGTCTGTTGCCAAATGTCCAAGCCACGAAGTGAAAAACAGAGTTGGAAGCCAAGATGTGGGGTGGTATGGGCTCTGGGTGTGCCCATACCTCGTAATGTTAGAAGCGTAAGAAAACCCTCCAGACTTGTGTTTAGGGACACTGCGCGTCCCTGCGTGGGCAGCTGTCTCTGGGGTGGGATCCCAGGAAACTCCAGGTTCTCAGTTAAATGGTAACTGTCTCGATGACTCTCAGGTCCCAGTGCCCACATGTTATGTAAGTGGCTTGGCAACCAGACCCAGCGGTGGGGAGTCACTGACACCCCTGTGCCCACGGCAGGGGTGAGGGCAGGGACACCCCCATGCCCTCTCTGGGCACCCTCATAAGATGGGACTGTGATGAGGAGCAGAGCTCAGTTTGGTTTCATTTACATTAAAAAGGCAAATCCCTTGGCCGGATGCGGTGGCTCACACCTGTAATCCCAGCACTTTGGGCGGCCGAGGCAGGCACATCACATGAGGTCAGGAGTTTGAGATCAGCCTGGCCAACATGGTGAAACCCTGTCTCTACTAAAAATACAAAAAAATTAGCTGGGTGTGGTGGCTCGCTCCTGTAATCCCAGTTACTCAGGAGGCTGAGTCAGGAGAATCGCTTGAACCTAGTGGGCGGAGATTACGGTGAGA